CTGAATATATATTAATATCATGGTTCAAATTAATTTTATTAAAAATAGCGAGATAATCTGCTATTTTTATATTAAAATATTTATCTCATTGAGACAACTCATATGTCAAAAATGATTGAATTAGAGGCATGTAGATAGCAGGAGCACAATCAAGTTATATCCAGATAGCTAATTGTCTTTTCTAAAACTTAAATTTTTTTATAAAAAAACAGAACTTAATATTTATTTTTTATATAGTTTAAATAATGTAATAATTTTGTGCGCCAATTTCAGATCCGGTAGCCGAATGAACTCCACAAAAGCCAGGCGGCTTGTGGGGTGCAACATTGCTCAATGGCCTCAGTTATGAGGGAAAGATATTACATCAGGAACTCTTGATGTAGAATTTTATTCGGAGTTCACTGATATGCAGATACATAGATGTTATAGATATATAAAATTTTTTTTTTTAGCGCAGGAGAACATTCCTCCCGTGTTATTCCATATTATTCATGTGTTATTTGTTGTTATATTTATGTGTTATTGTGTTCTGGGAATATTCCCGGTGTTATAATAACACAATAACACATAAATACTACCACAATAACACTTGAATAACGGATAACACAGGAGAAAATCAAATCATAAGAAACACTTGTTTACTTGAAGTCACTTGTTCACATATTAGTGGACTCCAAATGTAACTCTACGTTAGAAGTCCTGATGTAATATTTTTCCGAGTTCTAAGAGAGTACGCTCGGATTCAAAATTCTTCTGTTTACATTTGCAAAAATAAAATTGCATTTTAGTCCTCTATTTACGCCTATTAAACTTTAAAAAATAATTCTAAAGTCAAAAGTAATACTGATTCAACTTTTTTCGGTGCTTTTGAGAACCACAATTCAAATAATAAATTATATATTAAATGATGTTAACAATGAACACGTATATTCTCATGGAGGATATGTCAAAACAGCACATGCGAAATTGATTTTGAGTCATTCCAAGCAATTAATAGATTTTTTTTAATGCATAGAGAAGTGCGTTGAATAAAAATTGGAATTCGAGCTTTTTTAATTTACTTATTTAGGGCTGTCAAAAAACGGCTAGTTCTTCGCTAGTAGCTCTTATTTGACTCTTTAAGAAGCTCGTGTTGGGCGTGTTCCCTAACTTAATGAGCTAAACACGAAATAAAATTTATTCGTTCGTTCGTATTCGGCTCGAAATACTACTCATCAATAACATATATTTATATATATTATGATGAGTGATATTTTTAAAAAAAATTAACTGACTACAAAGCTAGAAATATTTATAATCAATTAAAAGTAGTAATTAAGGAAATAGAATAAACATTATTAAATTCGATTCAAATGATGTTTTAATATAAATAATAATTTTTAAATATTGCGCTAACCCTTATCATCTTATGACTATGTGATTAGAATTGTCAAAACGACTTTTTGTTCATGAACAGGTCGTGTTCGACTCACTACAAACAAGCCGAACACGAATACACTTTTTGAGCTCGAAATATAAACGATTTGGCTCGTTTACAACCGTAAACTTATTATCTTTTTTACTTTTGTATTTCTAATGAAAGTTTTAATTCCATGTTCAATATTTTTGAATAATTGCAATTAGGGGTGTAAACGAACCGAACACGAACGAACAAAGCTTGTGTTTGCGTTCGGTTCATTTGAAATTTAGTTTGTTTGAAATAAGCTCGTGTTCGTTTCTTAACGAACGAGCCGAACACGAACCGAACACGAGCTGTTTGCGAACGACGAGCCAGTTTGACATCCCTAATATTAATATATAAAAATAATATTATATATTAATTATATAACTTATATTATATAAATATACAATATCTATATTGGTATATTACTAGTATAGTATATTTATATATTATTATTATTATTTTATTATATATTATAATTTATAAAATTTAATGTTTTAAAATATAATAAATTTTTTATATATAATTATTTTATTTTATTTTATATTTCAAATAATAACGATTCGAACACGAACGAACGCATCACTGTTCGTGTTTGGTTCGTTTAACTAACCGAACGAAAAAAATTTGTTCGCGTTTGTCTCGTTTATTTATTGAACGAATCGAACACGAACTCATTGACGAACCGAACACGAACTGTTCGCGAACAACGAGCTTTTTTGACGGTCCTAATTGCAATGCGCTTGTGATTGCTTGTGAGTCGATAATGCGTCACGTGCGGTCATTGGGTCAAACGATTTTTATGGACGTACAGTTGTGAGACACGTGGAATGCCGGTGGGGGTGTAGGTATTTGCCTGGCTCTTTCGCCCATATATTCGTGGTCCTATAGTGACGGAGGTCGGTTGCAAGACTAGATACCAAAAAAAAGAAGAAGAAATTTTTGCGCATGTCACACTCATTATGTTCACACTAACCTAATGTTGACCCGATCCTAAAAAGATGCCAAATGAACCGTGTTCAATTAAATGCTATGTTATTGAAGTATTACATACAATTTACATATTTAACACCTACTCTTCAGTTTTTTACATGTACGACACTTTCTCTATGTATAAAAACGTGTATTTGAATTCTTTGATATTGTATTCATAAATACCGACTTATTTGCATATACCGTTATACCAAAATTTCTTATTTATTCCGTGTGGAACTCAACTTGCCTTCTGAAGTAGCTGAATCGGACCTGCAGGCTGACCTGATTATGCTTATTTTTCTTAAAATTTGAAGATAACTATCGGAAGAAATCATCATGACTAGTAAGAATCTATGTCAATCCCTTATTAAAGGCGCCACTCGAAACTTATGACTCAATTTATTCACCCAGACATTAAGGATAGACGTTGTACCGACAACACCTGACATCCACACAGCAGTCTTTTCGTCAAAAACATCTCTCTCTCTATCTCTCTCTCTCTTTCTTGCTTTTTCTCCCTCTAAAACCTTACAACTTAGAGAATCTCCGGCGGGTCACAATTCTTTGATGGATTGTTGAAAAAATTCGATGCATTTGCTAAGGTTCCCTTACCATGGGTCCATCTTTCCCTCTCTCTATGATGTTTTTTCAATAGTACTAAATCTTTTATCGGATTGTATGTACTCGCGAATAATAAGAGACTTTACGTCCTATGAAAAGATTTAACATATATTAAAAATTTGGGTGGTATTTATGTAAATATTTCTATACTATTATTATTATTATTTTTATTAATCACGAGAAACATACTTTGGAAATAGGAACAATTTTTTTTTCGATTTGAACGAATATAACTATGATTAAAATACGAATTAAGAAATAATCATCATTGTGGCATCCCCAAGTAAGTGTGCCAAAGAAAGCATGAAGTTGAAATGGGAAGCATTGGTGAAGAAAAAATTATGCTCGATGATATTACTTAGAGAATGTATTAGCCATTTTGTTGTGGTGCAGCTAGCTGTAGGGCTGTCAAAACGGCTCGTTGTTCGCGAACAGCTCGAGTTCTGCTCGTTAATTTTGTTCGTTCATGTTCGGCTCGTTTTGGCTCGAAATACTACTCATCAAGTTTATATATATATATATATATATATATATAAAGTAGTATTTAAAAAAAATCTAATTGACTACAAGACTACAAAGATTTATAATCAATTAAAATATTGATTAAGAAAATAGAATAAAAATTATTAAATTAGATTCAAATGATGTTTTGATATAAATATTAAATTTTAAATCTTGTTCAAACCCTTATTGTCTTATGTCTTATGACTACATGATTAGGGTTGTTAAAAAGACTCTTTGTTCGTGAACAGCTCGTGTCCGGCTTGTTAAGCTCAAACCCTTATTGTCTTATGTCTTATGGCAAACAAGCCGAACACGAACACAATTTTTGAGCTCG